GCATACTTTAAAAAAACATTTAAAGGCAAAAGAATGTAGTTTAAAATACATGTTATTCAAAATCAGGGGTAACAATAGATAAGTTTATACACTTAAAACATGCTTGCAAAAGTAAATAGAAATTTTAGAATTTTTTTGCTTTTGAATATTTTTAAGCTTTTCATAATTTAAGTGTATAAATTTCTTCTATATATTTAGTGCAGAGAACATAGGCTTTGTGTTAAAATTTTTTTAAAAAATGAAGTTAGGAAAAATAAAGTTGATTTCAAATTCTACAGAAAACTGGAACCAAAGGGCATTACAAAGAGCACTGGAGGATATGCTACCCTTCGTTAAACATGTAACCTTCTGAGTTAATTTTATATTTAGTCTCCTCTAGAATTTTAAGAGTGATCATTATTTACACTTTTGTCAATCTTTCTCTTCTTACTGATAACAGAACATTCCCTGTGAATGTTCCAAGGAAAATGTTTCAGCTTAACAATAAAAAGAAAATTTTTAAGTAATTTATTTAAAAAGTGGCACTAGTAGAATTTCCTAAAAAAAAAAAAAAAAAAATCTTTACATTCTAACAGTTTTCTCAGAATAATGCTGTCACTGTAATACTGCAGTGGAAAGTATTTCCTGTTTACAGTTTTTCTCATTCTCCTGTGAATTATAGTAATGAGTCAAAGGTCAGTTAGAAAAAAGATCTATAAAATTTAATATAAAGGTCTCAAGTGTGATAGAATTTGGCTGATATATATCTGCAATCATGGTAACTTTCCTGAGCTTTATTGCCAATTTTGCACAGAACAAATAAACATTTATGAAAAATATAAATCCAGGAAATCTGTGGTGAAATTGGTACCTTAATATATATTCCAAGGCCTAGTGCTGATGTATTTTACTTGTGGGTAAAATTATACTTTATACATATGTGTAAAAAAAAAAACTAAAGTGCTTAGAATTTTTTCAAAGTGGAATGAGAGGCCATTAGAGCATTTTAAACAAGGATGACATGATTTAATTTACATATTTTTAAAGTCTGACTGCTTTGTAAACAACCAAAGGATATAAATATAGAAGAAAATCAGTTAGAAAGCCATTGCAATTGTTCAGATTTAAAATATAAATGAATATAGTTATGTATTTAAATATATTATAAATATATACATACATATGTTTTTAAAGTCTGGGCTACATATGTATAAAGTATAATTTTTCCACAAGTAAAATACATCACTAGGCCTGGGAATATATATTAAGGTACCATGTGACAGTAGATGGAGGGGTCAAGGAATATTTATATGCTGAAATAATAACACAATGGAAGAAAGAAATTCATATCTCAGGAAGAGGAGGAGAATAATCACAGGAAAATGATCCCAGGGACACTAATTTCACCCACAAAATTAAAGAGATTTGATAGTACACAATACAAATCAAAGAAGTTGGTCGTTTGAGTATTGGAAAATGGAGAGAATTTCAATCAATTTCTATTTCCTAAGATTGTGTGTGCAGGCCATTATGAAAAATGTATAAAGAAAAGAAAGGATAGAAAGTTGAAAAAGAGAGAAATTGTGTAATACCTTTTTTTTAGAGATAAGGAGTTAAATGTGATTAACTCACTGTAGGAAAGATTTGAAATGATTGTGGTGTTCTCATGTGAAATTTAAGATTCTAAACTATGTGTGAAGAAATCCAACAATACTCTGATTTTTCTAAAAGTGACCACTTTTACATTTTTTGAAATATTAAATTATTTAATCTTCTAAAACTTTTCTTGGTGCTTCTGCTTTGCTGGTGTTCTAAGCAGTCTCTCTGTGAACAAGTTGTATTTGGCTTTTTCTGAAAGAAGAGTGAGCAACTGGAGAGAAAATAAAGTGATTGACTATTTTGGAAGAAGAGAGTCCCACACAAGGGACAAAAAAACAGGAGTCTAAGATGCTAAGGCACTTACCCCCCGCTTTAATCTTGCTCAGGATTAGTTTAGATAATGTGGCTACATCCATGCCCATTTAACAGGCAAATAAGAAAAAATGTCCACTGCCACTGAAGTAAAGTAGAATTTGTAGCCCTCCTATGAATGCTCATCGTACTCATGCCAGTTATTCCAGGTGCTGCCATCACCTGACTTTGATGCCCCTAATGAAAGGAAGTACAGAGCAAGAGAGAGAACTAGAGTGGAAAATATGAGCAGTATATACATTAAAAAATAGAATCTTTATTAGCTATCCACAGATTAATACACAGTAGAAGGAAAAATACATTTAGAAATACAAGAGGGCACATTTTTTAAAACAATTAGAGACTGGGCTATCTAATTCATTTATTTATGCATATTTATTAGGTAAGGTGCCTACTGTGTATCAAGCACTGTGCTAGGTACATATTCAACAGTACATTCAATTTCCTGGAACAGAGTTATGCTCTTTTGGAGTTAAAGCACAAACTGATTTAAATTTTATCTGTGTGATCAGAAAAAATCCTAAGGTATCTATACCATGTGTGTCCGTTCACAGAGAGAGTTTGCCTAATTCCTAAGAGCCTGGGTTCTTGTCCTGAATTTGCCACCATTAGTGCAATATGGGAAGCAAGGACTCTATGAGTAAGTTTTTCTCATGTAAAAAGAGAACTTTGAATGAGCTGATCTTGAAAACTCGTAGAATTTTTGGTCAAAAAGACTTTATGGTTTGATCAGCTTTATCCAAAACACTGACACCTCTGATGCGATGACATTCTCCCAAAGTCAGGCACTGCTCAACTCTAATTATGTGTATATGTATTCTTTTTTAAAAGATTTTATTTATTTATTTGTTTGTTTTTAGAGAAGGGAAGGGAGGGAGAGAGGGAGAGAAATATCAATGTGTGGTTGCCCCTCGTGCACCCCCTACTGGGGACCTGGCCCACAATCCAAGCATGTGCCCTAGACTGGGAATCAAACCAGCGACACTAATTCGCAGGCCAGCACTCAATCCACTGAGCCACACCAGCCAGGGCTAATTATGTGTATATGTATTCTAATAGATATAGATGTCATTTGACTGGAGTCATTTATAATACATTGTCAATTGTGTTTCTTCAAGGCGGCTCTGTAAAGTGGAATTTATAATTTCCATTTTAGAGGCAAAGGCAACTCAGCCTAGCAGAGATTACAAAACCTGCCAAAGAAGCAGCAGAGCCAGACGACAGCCCAGATCTTGTGAGTCAAAGCCCAGGGGACTTTCCATTAAACACAGCACAGAGGGTTGCATTTTGCTATTCAAAGTATATGGGGCCATAGAGAAATAATCAATAACCTAGTCAAGTGCTTTTGAAGCATTTTTTTAAAATAGGAAATCCAATATGTGTAAGACAAGGATTTTAAAAAGGTTGAGATATTAATTATGTGTTCATAATTCTGTCCCCAACCCATGTTGGCCTTCTAAGAAAAAGGGATTATTGTTTGCTTAGTCAGCCATAGGAACTTAATGGAGCCTATTGGAAGAGAGAGTAGAAAGGGCAATTGCCAAACGAGTGTCAATTGCTCTCTATAAGGAAAGTTGCCTAAGGGAAAAAAAAAATTCAGAAAGTATATAAAAAGGAATGAAATCTTACCTTTTGCAACAGAGTAGATGGAACTGGAGAACATTATGTTAAGTGAAATAAGCCAGTCAGAGAAAGACAAGTACCATAATGATTTCACTCATATGTGGAATCTAATGAACAAAATAGACTAACAAACAAAATAGAAACAGACTCACAGATACAGAGAACAGGCTGACAGCTGTCAGAGGGGAAGGAAGTTGAGAACAAGGTGAAAATGGTGAAGGGATTAAGCAAATGAAAAAAATCCTCATAGAGACATAGCAGTATAGTGATTACCAGAGGGTGGGGGAGGTAGAGAGTATGCAGGCTGGGGACAAATGGTGATGGAAGGAGACTTGACTTGGGGTGGTGAATGCATAATACAATATACAGATGATACATTATAGAATTGTATCCCTGAAACCTATACAATTTTATTAACCAATGTCAATTCAATAAATTCAATTTAAAAATTAAAAAAAGAAAGAAAATCATGAGTCTCTGAGAATTTATGGGAAAAAAAGGATTTGAAATCAATGCATACTGTAATATAAAAGATTTTGAAGAGGGAAGTGAGTTAAGAAAATTTTAAATATATTTTTGCCAAAACTGGCCACAAACAAGCCCATTTTATTTTAGTTACGGTACAACAGATAAAAGTTGAGCTTCTCTGCTGAGGTATGTAAAGGTGCAGCCTGCCAAAATACACTCAAAACCAATGACTCCCATGGGAAGCTTTCTCTCCGTATCTTTACAGATAGTTCAGTCTCCTAAAAGTAAAGCAATTGAATCAGGCTTAGCTCTAAATATAGGCAGATGCCTATTTGAAATGATACCTGGAAAGTTAGGAGGCTGACTTCACCTATCTCCCCACAAATACTTCCTATTAGCTAAGGCATCATCAACAGGGATTATAACCCTTTATTTCACAATAAAAGTAAAGAAATAATTTATAAGTAAATTATAAAGAAGTAAAAGAATATATCATGTGCATTCAATCTTATATTTTAGTATATATGATAATGTAATGAAGGAAAACCATCTTCCTAATATAGTAGGACAACAAATATGAAGATATTAAATTTAGCTCATTTTCATTAAAAAATTAGGTATTTCTATTAGGTCAAGAAAGAATGGAATATAAAGTAATCAGTTAAACAGAATATTATTTTATAATTTGCATTCTACATGTCTATACATATGGAAAATCATATGTTTGAATGTTCAGATGGCATAAAATAATGCACTAAATAGTTGGGGTAGAATTAAACAGAAAGGGAAAGTATAATTATGATTAAATGTATTCAAAGGAGAACACTATGGGATAATGGAGAAAGATTCTATGCTACCAAGTTGGCAATGAGGTGAGTTAGTAATTTTACTAAACCTAAATTCTGAGTGCAAAGTAATTTCAAATTTCATGCTTTCAAAGGATGGTGAAAACTGAAGGCCCTCAGTTCCCCAAAATCAAAAGAAAAAGAAGAAAAGTCTATAAAAAATGGAAACTCTTGAATCCCATAATATGTAAGTCAAATTCATTTGTTTTATAAGTATGTATAAAATGAACTACCCAGCTTATGTACTTTTTCACAGGAATGTTTATAAAAGTGGGAAGATAAATGCATATAAATGTTATAAAATTATTTAGAAGTTTGGTCATTGTTATTATGTATATACTTCTGCATTAATTATTAATGATATATGTATTGCGAATAAAAATGTAAATAAAAGTATTTACTTACTGAGACAAAAGCTATTTAGACCTAAATTCTTAGAATCTGTCTAATATATTACTATGTAACTATCTCAGTTCTATCTTTCTACTTACAGAAATTGAAGTATAGTCAATTGAAAGAGGCTATAAATTATAAAATTGAAAATGGCTATAAACTGAACTGCTTTTGGCATGAGGTATTTTTTTTTTTTAAGAATAGATTGTAAGCTACAGTTCTGGAAGGCAATCTATCAGTCTATAAACTGCTCTTGTGCACATGCTGTAGTGTAAATGGGTTTCAGAGAGATATGTCTCCATGTCTTTTCTCCCACGACTTTCTTGTTATAACTCTCCGATTATAACCAGGCCTGCTGGAAACTGTTTCAATACTTAACCATGAAAAAAGCCATTCCTTCAGACTAGAAGAGAGGCAAATGGGAATGCTCAGACTTTCTAGTATGCTTGGAGAACATATGTGTCAAATCAGAAGTTTGTATACCTCTCCTGAAGTGGGAAACTTATGATTCCTAAACCTATGATTCTTTATTTGATTCTGAAACAGCAAATATTTTTTGCATCCTGTACTTCCATACCACCACTAGCTAAATTTTAACTGGATGGTTTTCCTTTTTCCTATTAGAAAGAATTTATATATTTACTCTTTACATAAGTTTGTTTTTATATTTTATATTAAAATAAGTATATATAGAATCACGTTTAAATTAAGAATATTTCAAATTAATTTATAAATAATCCTTTTTAATTTTTAGCTTGACCAGTTATTAAAAATATCCTTGTGGACCCCCGGTTCATAGATCTACCTGACATCCTTATTTACTTGTTGCCCATTCTTGTTTTTTTTCCTTCACAAATACTCTCTTTCAGATATAGTTTAAAACATAATTTGATGTCTTCATATTTTGTTCACTATCTTTTACACAAGATCTGGTCGTTCATGCTTAAGTTCACAAATGCCTCAGAGCAAAATATTCTAACATTTTAAAGCAGAGGAGTGAAGCCTGCAAACTGTCAGTTCTTGGGCCAAAGCTGGTGCCTAAATATATTGGCCTCCATCTATAGAGGATTTTTCAAAATGTGAGCCAATCCCCAGAAACTGGGACATTTCATGCAATGAATCCAGACTCTAGTTTAGTTCTGGAAAAAGAGGGCATCTGGCAGCACTAGAACACCTTCTGTGTTGTGTAAAAAGTCCCTACCCTGGGGAAGGGTCAAGTCAAGGAACAAGTATGAAGGACCCACGGACAGAGCCAAAGGTGGGGAAGATTGAGGGAGGGAGGTGGGGGTGGGTGGGGCAGGGGAAAGTGGTGGCAGGAAAATGGAGACAAATGTATTGGAACAATAAAAATTTTTTTTTTGAAAGTCCCTACCCTAGGCAAAATAAGCTATCAGACCTGTTTAACAGCCTGTCTAGAAACCATTCTTAGGTATCTTTCATTCACCTTACCCCCATGTTTATTCGTTACACCATCTCCAATTAAATCCAGCTTGATTATCATTGGTGTTATAATTAGTATTATGATGCTGTGTTCAAATACCTGATCATGGCAACTTGCTCTTTATCAAGAAGTCTCTTAAAATTTATTTGCATAAATTTGCTCTGAAATTTTTATTTCACCCATTTTGGAAGTCTTTCTTTGAAAGTTAAGCTTAATTATATTCTTCATAAAACTACCAAGTGATATTCTGCATTCTAAAATAATTGATTTAAAGTAAGATATTTATTATTAAGTAATTTTGTGGGAAATACCTCAACATACTAGAAATGTTTATTCAAAATACTTGCTAAAAAGATGCATTGAATTCATCCTAGAATTTGGAACATCTGCTCTTTAAATGGACACAGAAACTTTTATTTTTGCTTCCTCTTTAGGTGAACCTCAGTCTGCTAATCAAGCATGCCAGAAAAATGTAAAAGATCATGAAAAGGAAATCAAAGGAGACACCTCAGAGGCTGTGTTTCATCAAACTGGGGCATTAGGGAAATCTAAGGAAAATGGAGATGAGCAGACATCCGCTTCTATGAATGAAAAGCAGAATTCCTCTTTTCTCCCTAAAGATAAGAAGTGACCTCCATCTGAGAGCCAAATAAGTAGGGAGAAGGAAAAGGATGATTCTCCTCCATCCATTTCTCATCACCTAAAGAAAGTCTTACCAGTGGTCACGTTTAATGACTGTGAAGAATCATTATCAGGAAAAATTACACTGCAGAATTTCCCAAACACAGCAGAAGGCTTTAAACCAGCAAAGGGAAAAACTATTACACCAGTAAAATGTGGGGATTTCAATGTTCAAGTAGCACACAAAAACAGATCTTTCTGTAAAACAGAAATGCAGCTCCCAGCAAAAAAGAGATGTCCAAAATGTCACCAGTGTTATCCTGTCAGACGTATTCAAAGATGTTATTCCTCTAGAAGCTGCTCTTCTAAGTACAAGACTATTTTGATAGAAGAAATAAAATCTGAGGCTCCATCTAAATATGAAGGAGAAACTGCCAGAACAGAAAGCCCCTCACTGAAAGTTAGCATTGTAGGAAAAGGAATTAAAGTTAAATACATGAGTAAGAAGCAGAATATAATAATTAACATAATTCATCCTAAAATAGGGGGGGAAACAGCCAAATACAGAAATGCTTCCTCTTATCACAGCACTAAAGAATGTCCCAGGTCTTCTGCACAGTCAGGTATCAGTCTGCCTGAAAAGTGCCAGCTTGGAAACAAGCATCAGAGTTCAGGTTGTCCTCACGTCTCTTCTGTTGTATTTGCTGCCCAGAAGGAGGACAATCATGAACAGCTGTGCTTTCTCTATGCTCAGCCCCCGAGAGGAAGAATGAGCTAGACACACTATCTTCAGTCTTGGATGCCTGTGAGTTAGAACCTGCCATCTCTCAGCAGAAGGACTTTAAAATTGGTCAGAACACCCCAGAGAAGCATTTCTTTGAATCTGAGGCTCTTCTTAAAAACATTTTTCCTATTTCACATGATGCCCTAAAAACCACAAGTTTAAGTGAAACAGACTTAAGTAAAATGCGTTTTGAGGATCCTAAAGATATAGATAAAGACAGAAAAATCAACTTTGACATCCCAGAAAATGCCACAGCAGACTCATATATACAGCAAAGCACAGAAGGAATAAATTATTTGCCATGTACCATTACTAACATCTTTCCAGTTCAAGATGGTAAAGACTCTGACTTTTATTCTTCATCTTCTCTGAATGCGAAGCACATAGGAGAAAAGGCAGCCAACATTTATTGCAAAGGCAGCAAAATTGCACCTGCAGAATACTGTGAGAACTCCAATTCCAAATCTTTCCCTTCCAGTCAAAAAACCTTGAAGCCTTCCACCCCATCCTGTCCGTCCCACAGGGCCACCAGACATTCAGAACCTAAAGAAACCCCTGGGGATACATTTTCCTTTGATCACTGTGCAGGATTTGTGATAGACTTTGAGGAAGAGCAAGTTGATGTGACTGACAGAAATTTTAACAAAGCCATTTTGCATAGCGACTCTCATACAAATGCACAGCAACTATCGGAAATGAAGAGCACACAGTGTCCAATTCCCAGCCTTGCATCCTCCAGTGGGCTCACTGCTGGGAGCCCACTCAACAGGAGCAACCACAGCTCTGTGCAGTGGGGTCATACAGAGTCCCAGGCAAGTCATGCAGAGACAGCCGCCTCCAGCAACACAAAAGTGTCAGTCATGACCTCAATAACTTATGAGTTAGAGCAAAGATTAATTATTCAAAATGTTAAAGAAGGTACGGTTGATCCTAATTGTCCCATGGGAATGAAAAACCTTAAAGAGTCACCCAGCTTTCTGGGAAATGTTGAAAGGAACAAGTTCCTCATAAGGCCAGTGGTAAAGAACACATGCCACAGAGATTTTGAAAACCTATCAAATGAGAATCATGATGAAGTCTGCTTTCAAATGGATTTTCCACCAAACACTGCTGAGTTCAACTCTGCAGGGTGCGCTACAGATAATCTGTTTCTTACTGAGAAACCAATGACCAGTGATGCAGACCACTGCAGTAATCAAGATGAAATAAACCCTGGACTAACCAGTTTTAAACAGGAGGCAGCAGAGTGCCGAAGGATTGCATCAATAAGGCCAAATTGTGAAGGCGATAAAAACGACCCACAGGAAAATTACTATCACCAAATAGACACACTGCTTTCACCTCAGAAGCAGAAGGCTGTGAAAGGTATGGTGTGCTACACAAAATCTTTCACGCTTTTTATTTTTACATGTTTGAGCTTTGGAAAGTCTTAATGTGAGGGCTTTTTTTATTGCTTGGGATTTTTTTCTTTATCATTGAAGAAATATTGAGTATTTTAGAGTTAGATGAATATGGGCAAGCATATATCACCCACTCCACCCATAAATAGTGCATAACAAAATCACCAAGGCTACAGTTTAATATAAAGTAAAAAGAAAAATCAATTTCTCTTTAAAAGGTTGATGTATTGCCAAATCAATTTTGTAGGAGACATTAGCCTTTTGCCACTCTTAAATAATCTGCCTTTTCTTTCCTTCTTGCAAGCTAAGCATGTTTAGAAGAATAGGAAAAATGTGTTTTTGATAAAATGTGTTTTTAAACCTTGCTGTGGTGTCACAGAAGCATGGTATACATGTCTCAGGAGGCCATATGGAATAGTAATTAAAGCAAAGGACGAAAACCAGAAATGGCCATAGCTAATCCTGGCTGAGCCGTCCATGGGGCCTCTGAACTCCGGCAGACCTCTGACCCGCCTTGTGCATTGGCTGGCCCTGCTCAGATCCTTGACAGAACCCAGAAACCCTCCAGCCTTCAAGAAGGCTAAGATGGGAGCTTTTTCCTAAGTACATACTCCTGCCTGTCTGCTTTCCATCTTGGATCCATACTGTATCATTTTGGTCAATTCATAAAAAGCTCTTGTTTTTTTTCCTCAAAGAGTCCAAAATATTTTCTATTTAGCTTTAGCATTATTACACATTGCATATTAAATTATACCTTGAACAAACAAAAATTTTATACTGCTGGTAACATGCCTAACTTGACCAAAAATGGAATTTGGAATAATGTAACTTAATCAAGAAGCTATCTTTTCTTTATTGTTGTTCTATCCCCCTTTTTAAAATAGAAATTAACAAAATTTAGAAGTGAAAATAAAATACAGAAAGCACAGTCAATTACGTAAGTATTGGCATAAAATGTGAAATTTACTATATGGAGAATAAATGTCCTAAAACAACTCAAAATCTATGTAGTCACCTGCTTAATAGGAGCACCCTAAAGGAAAGATCCATCAGTCACAGGGACTGCTTCCTGGTGCCAACGTGGTTCCAGATACCAAGATGAATGGCATTAATCCCAACATTGGATTCGGTCTGTAATTCTTCACGTCTGCAGAAAGCAGACCTGCAATAAGAGCACTGTGTCTTCCAGAGCACACACGTGCTCGCCTAGATGTATATTTTTCCCACCCAGGCTCGCTCTTCTTCTCCCAGGAATATGGCCCACCCTAGACTATCTCTTCCAGCAAGGCATATTTCCTTAAGAAAATTAATAATTCAAATCAGAATCCTCCCAAAACTAATATTCTCCCAAATCCTCCCAAAGGCACTTCAATAGGCTTTGAAACTGTCATACTTGATGAACAATTGAAACTATAGGTTCTCTGTGTTACTGTGATATCAAAAGGCTGTTCCTATAACTTGCTCCTTTACTCCTCTTCCTCCATCACTCTGTTTCAGCCACATTAACTTCCTTGAGTTGCAAGAACCTGACAGAAAAGATCCTCCATGAATCCCTTGGTTGACCTGCTCTTCGAACTGAATCACTTTCCCCCATATGTCCACAGGGTTCACGTTCATGTCTCCCAGGTTTTGCGCTCATCGTCCCTTCTCAGCGAGCCATTCTCAGGCCACTCAATTTGAAATTTCAGTCTGAGCCCTTTCCACCACAACCCAAGCAGGCTCTATCCCTTTTACAGGTTTGACTTCTATACACAGCTATTTTCACTTTTAAATGTGTTATATATCATACTGGTTCTTTTGTTCTGCCTTCTCCCACTAGAATGGAGTGATGAGGGTATGGATTTTTTCTGATTTGATTATTACTATATCTACAGCGCCAGACAATGTCTGTTCTGTCGTGGAGACACAATGAGTATTTGTTGAGTGAAAGAATGAATTCAGTGAGGTCACATCAGGTTTCTTTGTGCAACACCCTGTTCACATAGAAAAACAAAAAAGCAAATTTAAATGTTTGTATTAAAAGATATTTGAATCTATAAATTTTGTGTGGCTTTGACTCTCCTCAAGCTATGAGCATTCTTACACTTTATTCAATACAATTGTCATCACACTATTGATATCTCAGGGCAAGATTTTGTAATCCTCTCAGGGCGCAGGCTGCTTTGAGAAACGGTGAAATCTTTGTACCATTTCATCAGAAAATTATAAATTTGATATAAGCACAAACTTATGCCTCTATTTTCAAACCAGTCCTTCAACCTAATGTTTAGCCAGATTAAGAATCCCTGACATGAGTGCTACCTACGCTATTTACATATTGTACTTCTCTACACCCCTGTGTGTGCCCTTGGGAATTAACTAGATTAGCGATCACAATCTGGACCGTCTACAGGGGCCAGGGATGGAATGTAAATGAGTAGAACACGCTGCCTGTGACCAGTAATGGAGTGTTGGTGAACTAGAGGGAGCAGTGTCCTGAAGGAATAAGAATGAGGGTCTAGTACAGCCAGGCTTTTTGAAATTTCAAGATAGCTGGAGATCTGGGTTTTTAAAATATATAAATATCTATATGATATGACTTGGAGGACAGTGCAGACTAAGCAATCTCTGTATCTGAACTAAATGAACAAGAGAGGGTGGGGGATGGGCATGCTGTGGGAGGTAGAGGAGCCAACAGCAAAAGGGAAAGAATAACAGCCTGAACGCCTCAACGCTAAATTCTGGGTTCTTCCCCTGCCAGGTCAGGTCTGTACATTCTTGGGTAAAGAGGTTTCTCAGGACTTGTTTCTTCAATTGTAAATAGACTGAAATATATCTTTAAAATCTCTGCCCAAAATAGCCTCAGAAATTCTCTGTCATAAGGAAAAAAATTTCAATGAGAAAACCAAAATTAGGTTATTCTGAGAGAGTAACCAACCGATAATGAGAAGGACTAAATGATATGTTACATGGCAAAGAAATATTTATAATTAAAAAGCCCTTTACATGTAATATGGCATAAAACTTAGATGCACTGTGTAAGATATTCTATTTCCCTGTGACCCTAAGGAATTAATAATTCCAAAAGCCCACACCAAGACAAAAAGGTATAGAGGACTGCAGCTCTAAGAAATGTGTGGTCCCAAAGTGTGCACCAAGCACCAGGAATAGAAAAATGAATTTTAAAAAATTATTTTCCCTGTTGAGATAATTTCCAACATTCTGGCTTATGGTGAAATTGGAAACTTTCCTCACTTGCGTGCATTTCAACATTTCCCAGCAGACGAGCGAGTCCAGGGTCCAGGGTCCAGGGTCCAGCTGCACCGCCAGTGCTGTCTGCCAGCCAGGCTCCTCCCCGGTCTGCGTTTTCCTCTCCTTGGCTTCCAACTCACTTTCCAGGCCTACCTCTGCCTTTCAAAGTGATAGCTTTCTTTTTTCACACTCATGTTTCATAAAATATTAGTATGTTCTTTAATGGATTAAGGTATTGTTCCTACAAAATGACAGTGTATATTTTAACAGAGTCCTTCAAGAAACTTGAGTGTCTTCATTCCAGCCCCAAGTAAATTGCCTGATGTCTAGAATGGCTCAACAAACATATATTGGGTAGTTATGGAAGGAGGGAGAGAGTTACATGTGAATGAAGGTAACTGATACATAGATTCAGTTCACCGTGGAAAAACCTTCTACCTCTTTGAAGTATCAATGGTTTGCTGATTCACGTAGTAAACAGGTAGCAAATTTGAGTCTGAGAAGTGTTCAAGCTTAGGTTAAATGACTACTTGGTATAAATCTCATAGAAGTTTTTAAGCATGTAAAGATGGTTGGACCAAATTACCTTCTATTCTTTTGCAAACCTGAGATTCTACAAATAGCAAGCAGGACAAGGGGAGAGATGCTTTGCCGCCAGTGGTCATCATAAGGGGTTCTGAAATCAAACTTCAAAACATACTGTAGGGCACATGCCTTTTCCTTATTTGAGTATATAAGAAGATATCCTGGACAAAAACTTTTCCCACCATATCACAGGGCCATATCTCCATCACACACTCTCCTAGGGCAATAGGATTGCCTTTTTATCCAGAAATTTCAGGAAAGAATCACTTTTAAATGTAAAATATTTCACATTAGAAAATTCTTCTCATGGATGCCTTTCGAATCAGCCTGGACCCTATCTCTGCAAATAATGGAACTACACTCACATATAAGGAGCATTGGAGAAAATGGCCAGAGGCCAGTTCTGCAACATCTTTTAAAGTTCCACTGCTCTGTAAAGCTGCAGCACACAAAAAATCGTCCGGTCCATAGCTGTAGACCAAGTAGCCAGCACAGTGGAAATTAGCATATAAAAAGAGAACAGTGGTGAATATTATAAAATGAATGTCATTTTCCTCTTACCCCCTTACTTTCTAAGGAAGAGGTAGGAGTCAACACAGAGTTATTGAAAATTAGAGGAGTTGAATAATAACTCTTCTCCCTTCAGTGTCTTTGGCCCTGACAAGTAAAATTTAAATTATTATGCAAATGATCATTAATAATTATATGTAAAAATAAAGATGATTATTTATGAATATATCCCATCTATTATTTCAATAGTTCTGAGAATAGACTTTGATACTGATAAATTAGATTTTAATTTACAAAGATCAGGTTTAAAAACTCATTTGCTCCTGGAAATAGAATAAAAATAAAGGCTAATAGTTGGTCTTTTTTTAAATTGATATTATTTACCTTTTCATATAGTACCAAAAAGTTAAAGCAAGTAAAGTCTTTATCAATTCTAACCTATTAAATTACTTTCTAGGTATTACATGCTCTGCTATTTAGGCTTACTTTTATTTCACTTTTTAGTTATTTTCTTAAATTATTTGTATTTCAATTAGTTTATTTGTAATTTTCTTTCTTTTAATTAATACATAGCTTTGTAGCTTGTGATGACAGAAGACAGGAGTTTTGAAGTTATGGTTGTTTATAAATAAGTTATTAGGGTATTATTTATTCAAATATAAAATTATCAAAACCCTCATGCACTATGGTTTTTTTTCCTCTTTTCCTGATTTTGAACCAACACATGCAGCAAGGAAAGTATCATGAAATTATTTATTATTGTGATTAATGGAAATCAAACCATAAAGGACTTGAGTTCAATAGTAAACTTATTATCATAGATTGTTTTATAACTTACTTAGGTAATAATATCTTGTCTTAATGAGGATTCAGGGGACATAATTAAAAATTTATTTGCACTTTACTCCTCCAGAGTAACTAATTAATATTACATTCTGTGTACGGCTGGTGCCCACGGAGTCTCTGTCGAATTGATCCAACTGAGACAATGGGTTGGTGATCCCCCTTTCTTATATAAAGCAATTTTTCAATTATATGGCTCTTCTTTTTTAAGTAAAACAAGTTTTGAAAGTGAATCATGAAGGTAAATGAAATTATTCTAGTTCTAGCTTACAATGATTCTGTTTTAAAGACTGGAATATTTGAAATTCTATCTTGAAATAAAGTTTCACTTTCAAATACAATGTGGTTGAATCTAGATTGGAATTTGGAAACAAGTAGCATCTTCAAGTTACCCCTGAATTGGCTCCAAGAGGTATAAGGGCCAGTGACGGTTCCCAGGAGGAAGCCATAGACCAGTGGGCCCGGAGGAGGCAGCAATTCAAAGATGGCAAATGATGCAGCTCAGC